AGCCTATTTTTCGAACGTGAGCCTCTGCCTAACCCACGAACGCGGACCTTGTTAACCCGGGCGACGTCCGAGCCGGTATCAAACTTCGATCTGGTTACTACCATAATGATTATCTCCACAGAATGTGGGTGTGTGGTCACTCTTAGCTTCATTTCTCCCCATAGACCTTACTGGCATGGGTGTCCCTACCAGGAGCTTGTGCTCCAGCCTGCATTGCCCTATGGTTCAGTAAAATTACTGGGCTCTCCCACCACGATCAGGTGGTGACCACGGGAGAGTTATTATTATTATTATTATTATTATTATTATTATTATTTTTAGTTTGTGAATATTGGAATTTATTTTATAAAATAATGTTTTTTAATTGACTAGATTTGAAATCATTAAAAAATTCTCAAATATATAAATGTTACAAAACATATATTGAAAATTTTAAAAATTTTTCAGATATTTTAACATGCTACGAAATTGCAAATAATCAACAGAGTTTGGGGAATAAATTATTTAAAAAGCCATGGATTCAAAAAAATTGTGCGGCATTACCTGAGCCACAGACACGATATTTAGATGCGTGTCTATGGGAATATTCTCAAAAAGATGTATATATGATTGCCGTAGCTTGTTCGGATGCAGTTCTGAGGTATGCATATTTTAAGCTAATAATTATTAACGAAATTTAATCTCACAATCAAAATTTCACAGCAAATCACATAAATTATATTTATATCATTGTATGTTCCTTGAAATTTAGCATAAAATTGCTATTGAGAACCTATCACAAAGGAACACTCCTCTTGGTGGAAAAAGTCAATTTTTATTTTCTATAATTTACAATGGATATGCATTTCGAACTTTATCAGAACTCTTCAGTCCTTTAAACCAATAAAAACTGGTTAAAAGTTTTTATGTTTTTGCTACCTTTATTGGTCAATTTTTTCAGCATTTTATCTGGAACATTTTTATTTTTAACATTTTACTTGTTCTACCCCACATCTTCTAACAATTAGTTATTCCAGTAGTCACTAGAATTATATTTTAGTTTTACCATTATACATAACAATAATTTCTAATAAATTTTTTAGCAATCCTTAGTTAAATGTCTTGCTTAAATAATATTTATATATTTGATTACATTAAGAGTTTGAATTGTTTTTTACTACTAGCTCATTATAGCCCAATTAAAATGTAATGGTATCATTTGTTTATTAGTACACACCAGATTTGGTTTACTTATAGTTTATATATTTTTAATATATTAGACATTATGAAGCCTGATATGTATATAGAAACATCACCAAACGATTCCTAAATAATCAGGATATAACTCTGCTAATTTAATGATTAATACTAAGTAATTTGCTACTAGAGGCATCATTAAATTAGCAGAGTTATAACCTGATATTTAGGTAATTTCTTGGTGATGTTTTTATATATTTTCTTTATTCATAAATAATATTGTTTGGGAAATTTTCTGATTTACTTCAAAAAGAAAAATACCGTTTTATTAAATAATACAAAATATTCTATAAATGAATAATTATAAAAATTATTACCTATTACTTTCATTTTAAAAATATAAATAATTCAATGTAATTGTTTAATTGTTTATTTCAGGTTTTTTAGATTTTCTTTGTTGAGTAAAGAACTTCAATTATATAAAACTGTTCCTCATGGAAATTATTGTATTTTACATACTTCATTAATATATATTCAAAAATCTATTATGGTTTTTACTGGATCGACTGATGGATTATTAAAAATATTTTCAAGTGACTTTAACATTAAAGAAAATACTTCAGAAATAGAGAAACAGACAAATTTGTCAACAATTATTTGTCCAGAATTAATAACTGAAAAAAGATTACATCAATGCGGAATAAATGCAATGTGTTTACATAAACTCTCAGGTATATTTTTTAATTATGATTCTTTGATAATGTAGTCAAATATATAGAAATAAGAGTGTCAAAGTAATACTTTAGTGTAATATTTATAACACATAATGTTTCTTTAGTTGAAATAGATTCTAATGAGCATGTGAAATATATGAATCAAATACAAACAATGTAATGATAGAACAAAAATATTTTAAGTCCAATTTTGCACGTAAATAGCAATAACTATCAAAACTTAATGAATCACAGTAAAGATGAAGAGGTTAATCTATTCATCTTTAATAGTGGTTTAATTTCTAAATTAAAAGTCACAGTATTTATTATACTCTTTGTGATTAATTTCTATCAGACTGATAGATAGGTCTTAAGAACAAGTTTAATACTTTATTTGTTGCTGGTTATAAACTTTATTTATTACATGCAATCTTATTAAATAATGAGTGCAAAAGACAGAATTGCTGCTGATATTCAAAATGAGATTGGCTATAAGCACTTTTGAATATGATAGTGCTCAGTGATAAAACAATATTTCATGTTTTAGGATTTGTTTACTGACAGAAAGTCAGGGTATTGGTTAATGAATGTCTGCATGTTTTTGTTGAATGTAAACATCAACCCAAAGTTAAAACATGGTGTGCTCTAACACAAGATTGAGTGGTTGGCCTATTTTCTTCATGGAGTTTACTGTGACATCACACATCTATCTTGATATGTTGGAACTATATGCAATGTCACAATCCAGAGAAGACAAATGCCATAGCCTTTACAACATGCAAAGTGGCAAAAAGGCAACCCACAATTAAAATGCAAAATAAATCGATTAAATGTGTAAACCAAATCAACTATTTAGGAGTAACAATAGACAACAAACTTTTCTGGAATGAACACCTAGAAACAATTAAGAAAAAAGTGGGTAACTTATTTCAAGAAATAGCGAAAGTAGCACGTAAAGAATGGAGTATAGGTGGAAGGGCTTTAACACTTATTTATAAAGGTGCTGTAATCCCAATTGTTACATATGCTGCCCAAATTTGGGGGAAGAGGATGGAGTTGAGGGAAACACACATGAAACAGAAAATAAATAGCGTACAAAGAAAAATGCTATTAAGAATTACTGGAGCATACTGTACTACATCCCACGATGCACTCTGTGTACTGGCGGGCCTAATGCCTCTGGATTTGGAAATTTGACAGCATAGTGACACAAGAAATATATTAAAAGAAAACAAAACTCATAATGATTTATTGAAAAAAGAGGACGAGCTAGAAGCAGATATGAAACAACACCAAAAATTAAGATATGAATGGGAGAAAATACATATAAAGAAATACAACTATTGGGATAAATACAGAATCTATATGGACGGATCAAGATCCTCAGAAGGAGTGGGAGCGTTGTATGTTTATTACTGTAGAAATAGGGAACAGTATCATAAAAAAAATCAAGTTAGATAAAAGATGCACAAATTACCAAGCAGAATTGGTAGCAATAGATCATGCAATTAACTGGATAAATCAAAGGAAGAAAAATATAAAAATTACTATTTGCACAGACAGCCAGGCTGTATTAAAAGCTCTTAATGATGGTAACAATAAAAGTGAACTAATAGACAATATAAGACGAAATATTGTGAAAAGTGATAATATGCTTGTGTTCAGCTGGGTCAAAGCCCATTTTGGAGACCAACTAAATGAAAGAGTGGACAGTCTGGCTAAAGAGGCTAGTTATCTAAAAACAAAGGAATCTACAAACAAAAATATCTACAAAATACATAAAAACTGAAATAAAAAATAGATACATATTACAGTGGCAACAACGGTGGGAAATAAGTACAAAAGGAAGGGAACTCTTTGAATACATACCAGATATTAACCAGAGGTTAAATAACAAACATCTACAAATTGGTCACAAATTCACAAGATTCATGACAGGTCATGGAGATTTTGCGAAATATCATTATAGATTTAATCATCGAGATGATGAAAACTGCGAGATTTGTGGGGTAAGTGAAACACCCACACACATCTTATTTGACTGTATGCAATATGAAAAAGTAAGAAACAAATTAAAATTAGTTTGTAATAAAGAAGGTTACAATTGGCCTATTAGGAAAAGTAGCCTTATAAATAATGTTAACATATATCATTATTTCAATGAATTTATAAAAACTTGTTATAAAAACAGAACAAAAATTTCTCTCATAGTTCATTGTCAAATTAATGACATCAAATACTCTACTCAACAAAAATATAATTAATGTAAAAAATAGAATTGTCGGATATTAATGTATTGCGGCTACGACTGCAACCATGTAATCTTAACTACCTGCAAAGCATATGCAAAGCAGGGTCAATTAAAAGAGGAATACCTCAAGCCAGTAGCATTTAATGCTACAGGTCAGATGGAGTGCTCCACTAAATGTAATGTAATGTAATGTAAATGCAATGTCACAAATTATAGAAAAAAATGTCCATATATAAACATCTCAAAACCCAATACTTTTATAATGAAACCAAATGATGGCCAATGTATCAGTAAAGTAGCCCAGTTTAATCCAGCAGTCATTTGGTTTGAAGAAAATGTCATCTTGAAAGATGACATTCTCCATGTTTTTCAACATTATTTGGCAGTCCCTTAATAAGACATTTCTACAGCAATTGAATAGATGATGATTGAAGGCATGGCTTGATGCTCCCTATCTCACACCTTGCACCTTAAGAGCTTTACTTGTGGAGTTACGACAAGTAGTTTTCAGTGTGTGCATTAACCATATCGAACACTTGAAACAACAGATCATAGAAGTTATTTCATCTGTCACATCCAATGTTTTTGATTTTGTATGAGAAGAAATGGGACTGACTAGATGTCTTCAGGACAATAATTAAATCTGATGCAAGCACACACCATTGATACAGGTTTAAAAAAAATTCTCAAATATTTTAAAATTGGTACATATTTGATGTCTGTATTATGTTTGTTTACAAAAATATAGCAATTTGAAACCCACACAAATGACTTTATAGATATAAAATGAATGAAATGAGTACAGCATATTTAATTATAATATAAGAAATCATCAATATTAAAAAAAACAAATATTTTATGATTAATATATTATAACATAAAATATATTAAACATATATAAAAAAATATATTAAACATAAAATATTTTTCAGATTCTACTTTACTTTTGTTTACTGGTGGAGATGACAATAGTCTTAACTCTTCAGTCATTACTGTGAATAATCAATCTGTAGATATTAAAACATTTACGTGTCCAACAGCTCACTATGCACAAATAACAGGTAAATATTTGTATCAAACTTTATACGATTTATTAGTATTTAAAGCTAAATACTTAGCACTTTTACTAAATACTTATTTTTCTTAGCACTTCATAAAAATTTCTTAATTGTACAAAAAGCTTATTATGTTGTCATATAATAAAAAATCCTTTATAGTCAAAGTCTTCAGATGATGTAGAAAAATAAATATCTATTGTTTACATAACAAAAATTCTCACTTGTGAGGTGAAACAGTGTTAAGGTGGATCACAAGAACAATTAGATTATTTCTAGAATTTTCTTGTAATAAAATTGATATATTTTTGCTAATTATTCTTTTTCTAATAAGATTTACAATAAGTAATATTAAAAGAATAATTATCATTTGGATAGAAATATAATACAATTTTTAATTATGTATAGTAATTATTTTTGAAAAATTATTGATTTGAAATAATTTTTTTTAATCCAGTTAAAAATTAAACTTATGGAATGTTTAGAAATGAAATGGACATTTTCAAAAATTTATTTATAAAATATAATAAATGCATAAAAGTTAACCCACATCAAGATAAAGAGCAATTCATAGTGTTTTGAAAGTTCAATAAGCATATCTACTGGGTAAACCATTCTCAACATGGCCAAGGATTAAATTGGGAAAATTCTGTGTTCTGTAGTATAAAACATTTAACTTATATGTTCTGATTACTAGAAATCATAACAACAAACAAGCTAGCAAGTGGTACACTCGAGAGTAGCCGATGCATGACAAATTGTTTGGGCATCACAGGACTCTTCGTACTACTACTACTAATACTACTAATACTAATACTAATACGTTGTTATTTGATCATCCAGCATTTTTTGCCCTAAATACATCAAGATAGTGTAGAATACTTGACCAGAATGCAATTATTAATTCTTAATCATATTTTGTAATTACTATTTGTATATTTTTTTAGGAATATCTGTTTTATCAGAAAATAAAATTCTCACAACATCCATTGATCAAAGAATTCATTTATGGAATTGGGGATTTGACAAAGAAACTAAAAAGCTTAATTTAAACATCTTGACTACTTTCATGTCTTGCATTCCCGATATTGCGTGTTTGGATGTCTACAAAAGGTAACATTTATTTTGCTTGGTATTTAAAATTCTTAAAACATAATTGAAATGAAAAAAAAACTTACTTTTGCAATAAAATATAAATTATAAAATATTGTAAAATTGTTTAGGTTGATTAAATATACTTAAATAAATGTTTCTTTTTCTATTTTTCTACATTCCTCAATATTTTAAACATATTTTTAACTTCTTGAAGTTTAAATTATTTTTCAATATTTTTCATCACTAATTATTTTGTTTCTGGAGAAAAATGTCATTTGTTCCTTTAATAACACAAGATACAATTGACAATTGGCAGGATTCTAAATCTACACACACTGAATTTGAAAGAATCAGAAATAACGAGTTTGAAATTTAACATATATTTATAAAATAACTTCTTTAATAGTATCTAACTCTAAATATGACAATAAAAGTATACAGGGTGATCGGAAAATGTTTGGCCAAAATTTAAAGGGAGTTAGAGGGGACAAATATAAAAGGATTTGCATTACACTGTTTGTCCGGAAATGCTGTGTAGGGCAGTTGAAACAAGCCAGAAATGCAGGAAGCTGTCATTTCCTGCTGTGATTTCATACAGCATGCTGAACTAGCAGATATCAATCTGATGTATGGAGCTGCAAATGGAAATGGGGCAAGCTGTGCAAAGGTTGGGCTTATTACATTTGTTTGTGTCTATTTCCTTTTACCTATCCACTTTCTTTACTCTCCAGAACTTTCCAGACAAGCATTGTACTGAGAATTCTTTTATATTCATCCCCTTTAAATTTTGGCCAGACATTTTCCAATCTCCCTGTATATTTATAGAATAATTTGTTGATAGCCAATGTAGTTAAAGGCATCGGCCTGTAGCTCCTGGGATCTGCAATCAATCCAGGCAGATTGTCCTGGGAATTTTTCATGCAAAACGTTGGGTTTTGTCCCCAGCTGCCCAGGCCAAACCCACAACAGAAATGGAAAAAGTCCTCAGAGTAGAAAGAATCAAATGTAGGAAAAAGAAAAAAATTTAATTTGTGAGAAAAACATCTTTTGATATTCAGACATTGTTAAGAAATGATTATATGCAATTTTATTATCATCAATCATTTTCTTGGCTTTAAATTTCAAATAATGCATAAAAATATAAATTAAGTTTTAAAAACTAACCAGGATCCAAAAGAAGTTGTAAAAAGATTTTTTTCTTCTGTCTAATTTCTTTTATTTATTTATCTTTTATTTGGGTGATTGCTTTGTACGTGGCCCATAGTTCAGCTTGTGTAATGCTACAATGTTTAGCAAATTTTAATCTGGCCTGATATATTGTCTTATTGTTGTTGTTTTGAATGCACACATCAGCTCCCACTCCGCACTCTTGCTTAGAACCATCTGTGTACACTATCCACTGAAAGTATCTGTTTGTTTCGGGATCATAATCGAAACTTATTTCGTAGCCGTGCATGTCTGCTGGGTATAGTTGGAGGCATATATCATTACTAGTTCTATCAATTTTATACTTTTTTAATAATATCAGGTATATTCCAGTAGCTGTTTGGAATAATTTTATTTTTAATACGTTTTTCAATATCCTCCTGTGTGTAACTGTGCAGCCGAATATTAGTGCAGAGCCAATTCCAAACTGTTTTTCTTGCCGTGATATGTATTGGCATTAGTCCAGCCAGTACCAGTATTGCATCTGTTGGAGCTGTTCGATAAGCACGAGTAATCCTTATTGCTGCTCTTCTCTGTATCGACAGTAATTTTTTGCAAAACTGTGTGTTGTTAAGTGCGTCTTGCCATACAGGGATAGCGNTAAAAGGTACTCTCTGTATTTATGTTTATACATGATATTTTAAGCTGTGATATTTTATATTAAAATCATTCCGTACATAGTCATCCTGCATGGAAAAGTTCTTTAAATATGGCAAAATTCTTCATTTTTTAACACTGTAAATAGAATAAAACACGTTTTTAAAATGTAATAAAGTATATTGAAAAAATTCTTAATTTCTTCAATTAATTCTGTAAATTACATTATTATTTACACCAATGAGATAATGGCGATACATAATTTGTTTTCTTGAAGTATTACTGGACTGAAAAAAGAAAAGAAATCATAGAACAGAATATGTTATTAGTTTAATAACTGGAAGATGATCTTAAATTTTCTGTTAATGGCAGAATGTTTTTAAATCATCATCTTATAAATTCAAAAAGTTGTTTAGCTCAAATATCAGAATACATTGTAGCAGTTATTGTTATTCTTATTCAAAATTATTATTATTAATTAGAATTTGTCCAATTAAATTGTTGCTTTCAGATTTATTCTAAAATGGACAAATAATTTGATCTTTGTAGTCAATTTTTTGAGATTAAAAATATAAATTACTACCAAGTATTGACGTTTCAGGAACAATTATATCCGGATTCGGTAAGACCAATTAATAATTAGTTACAAACACACAATTTGATTTAACAATAAGCAGTTAAAAGTTTTTAAAAAAGAAAAGCTTATTATATGTTTAAAAATGAAATTTATGCAGTGCAATCACCATTTTCAAAACATTTTTACCATGCAAGAAAGATTCTATGTCTTCCCCGAAATGCATGTTGACAAGTGACTTGTATAATAAGGCAAAAATCTGTAAAAAATCTCAAAGGCAAGTCTTTAATTATGGACAATAATTTTAGAATTTGTTACTTTTCAATTCTTAAGAAACCACTTACTTCCTTAGTCAATGCCAAAATTTGCAGATTCAAAACTCTTCTTTGATAATAAATCCCTTTAAAAAATTTACAATAATTTTTTGGCTTTTTAAAGATATCTCATTTTGTTGATATTTAAATTTACCATTTAAATATCAACAAAATGAGATTTGTTGGTGATAATTAATTGACATTTTAATAGATATTTATTTTTTTTTAATATTTGATAACTTGGCAGCACTAAAATACAGAGCATATACAGTAAGATTTTGTATCTTTGTTTAGTTTTTCTGTTATTGATATATATATTGTGCTATAATTTCTTCTTAGGATTATTATTTAAAATAAATAAATCAATCATTTACTTACTCCTTTCTAATAAGAATATATTTTCTGTAAATCATCCATAGACAAAGAAATATAAATTATAAGCAAATATGCAATGGTATAAATAAGCAATGGTAAAAATGCCCACAATCATCTTAATCCTTTTTGAGATAATCGCCAGCATTTGCATAATTTTCGAATACAAATTTTTAAGATTTAATTCGATTTCGAATCTGTTGATTTTATTGGCTTTTTCCCGAAGAGTTTACTTATAAATAGTATTTGCTAGTGCCCGAAATCTTAGAAAAAAGTTACGACGAGTATCTTTGGTCACGAGATAGGTTCTGCCAATAGAATAGAGAAACAATTTCCGTTTTGACCCGTTTAGCCAAATTCAAATGAGAAAAATAGCAAAATGATATGTAATTTTCTAGAAATTTAATCGAAAAGTCGAAATAACAGTTTGGTTGGAAGAAACTCTTGTCGAAGTCTAAATATAATTAGAACGGAATGAAAGCCAAGGGAAAAAGTATCGACGGAATTTTAAATCATCAATAAGAAGGAAAACTTACAATTAAAAAAGAATTAAGTTACATTAAATTATTATTATTAAAAATCATAAGGTCTGACGGAGTATTTACTCGTATTATTAATACTTTAACGTCGTATAATATTGTTTGGATAAATTACACGATAATTTGTTTAACACCAGACCCATCCCCGGAACGTTTCTGCATAAAATACGCAATAGTATTTCCCGGTTACTGCCCAACCGTATAATGACATAGGGAAAAAATGTGCGGGATGTTTCTCTACTTGGAAATAATTGCGCAAGGAGGTGGCAGATGTTGCCGATGGCCTAATCCCGGGAAAGAATAGGAATTTTTCCTCCCGATTTATGGGGAATGGAATAAAATCCGCGGAGAATGTATCGTTGCGCGTGTTTTTTAATTGGGTTTTTATGGAATTTAAAATGAATTAATTAATTTAAATTCCATTGAATTAATTAATTTAAATTCCATTAAATTAGAAATGTCTATAAAATATCCATTTAGAGCTGTGCTCAAACTTACAATTTTTGCAAGCTGGATAAGCATGTTATCAGTAATACTATCTGAGGTTCTCCTCTTATATAAATTTAGAACTAACATACAATCATAAAATCTCATTGCATCAACTGAGACACTGCTGACCCACGGATCCTCCATCTGTATTCGTCCAAGTGTAACTTACTTATTCTAGCATAATTACTATGTAATTCTCTTAAATTAATTTAAATTATNATTAATTTAAATTCCATTAAATTAATGGAATTTAAATTAAATTAATTAATTGTGCTAAATTAATTAATTAATTGTGTTAAATTAATTAATAAATTGTTCGAACCCTAAAATTTTATCCGAGATCAAAGATTCACTTAAAATGGCCGAATTTCCGTGCGGCCGTTTTAAGTTTAAGTGGAAGAAGGAAAAAAAACAAAATATTTCGGTGTCTTTCTAAAATATTCGTTGGGCGTCTCCGCTGTTTATAAATATTTCGGAATTAATTTATATTAATGAGAATCGTTTTTTGATTTAAACGTGAAATTGCACGAAAGAGAAAATAATCGACTTTTAAATATATCAGTGATTTGCTTATCGGGAATATTAATTTACGACTTTTCTAGTACAAGGGTGGAATTACACGTTTATTTAGAAATGTAAATGTAATTTTATCGGTTTACTTTTCGGATAAATACGCTTAAAATCCTGTTAGCCTAGTTATTTTTACGAAATTAATTGGATGGACGGAGTTACGTCTCACGTCGCGCATATGCACGAAGTTTGACGTAATACTTCGATATTACAAATAATTCGTAAACGGAACTTGGAAATTTTTTCATTGTTTATCGAAAAAACTTCAAGTTCTAAAATGTCTCCGTTTGGCATTTATTTTGAATTTTTTAAATAAAAATTACTTTTTTGTTTCTACTTTTTACTATCCTGGTTATTATGTATTCATAACAAGGGAAAGTAATGGAATCGTGTCAAATTTGACCCTCAGACTTTTTGCAAATCTCCACGCTTTGACACCTCCCGAACAAAAAAGTAAAACAGCAGAAAAATTCTGTGGATGTGTGTGTATTGGCTTCTATTTCGTTTAATGTCTCAGGAAGGGGTGAAGATAAAGAAACGACGGTAGCTTGCGTATAAGGGGCATCGAGGCTATTAAATTTTGATGAGGGGAGGAAAGATAGAGAGTGATCACGTGTCATATTTCGCGAGGGGGTTGGGCTTAATGAAGATTTTACTCTCATCTTTGCCCTCAAAATTTAGTCCTTTATATATTTTTAATTATTATAAAATAGCAAAGTTGTTATTACAAAATCTCGCAACAGATGGTGCCACATATAATTTTTATTTATTTATTATAATTAATAATTAAAAAGTGATTTTATTATAAAATCTCATCGCAGTCGGGAAAGTTACGCAACCCGTTGTTGGATTTTTTATAGTCAAAATCAAAGTCGTTTACTGGTGAACTCCAGTGTTGTTCCACCTAGTAGGAATACCATTTACATTTCTAAAAATAAGTTTACTGGTTTTTGAATAAAAATCCCAAAATCATCATGAGTACATACTATAATTAATTGTAATGAACTGTCACTTGTAAAAAAAATACTATTTATTTTGTTGTTATAAAAAAAAATTATTTAAAAAAAGTCACAAATGGAGGGTAATATGGAATAGGTGGTTTAAACCATTTGAAAATTAATTAAGACTTCATAAAATATAGTTATTTTTAACTATAAATTTCTAACTATATATAGTTATAGTTATTAATATAACTATAAATTATGTTCATGTCATTCCTGCTTCGAGTCTATTTACAAAAGTCACAGATATACAGTAGAGCCTCGATTATCCGACCCAATTGGGGACTGGGGTTGGTCGGATAATTGAAAAGTCGGATAACCGAAAAGTATGAAAAAAATCCATTATCAGTGTAGTATATTATTATATCCCATGTAATTAGTATATTAGTATACCGCTATTAACCTACTTCGCGTTGAATTTTCATCGATGTTAAGCCTAACAAAAATTTTTTAAAATAATAATCGTCGCTATTGTATCGTTAAAAATTAGAAAATTAAGCCTCGTTTAAATACTGGCTCCGTTTCATGGTCGATCCAGTGTTGCCAGCTAAAACACGTAAAAATAATATTAAAGTAGCCAAGACATAGCCAAATATTGTAGCGCCACATTACTAGCGGACATTTGAAATTTGCCGACTAGGAGGGTCGGTTAACCGAGGTGACTGTTAATCGGAGGTCGGATAATCGAGGCTCTACTGTAATTTTCTCTCTCTGCTCCGGTACAATCAAGGTGAGCCCACAGAGAACAGCTGAAGCATTGAATCCAAATTTTCCCTCGTTCATCTTCGGAGAATTTTCCGTTACAAAAGATACATTCAGTGTCTTCGTCTTCTGGTTCTTTAGTTGATGGCATGAAGTCCATTACAGATGATACATCAGAATGGAACGATTCATCGCTGCTAACGCTGGAGTCATCTCTAGTAGGTTTAGGTCTAGAAGATATTTCTTAAAGATATTTCTAGAAGATATTTTAATTTCTTAACAGGTGGCCTTTGAATGTTTGGCTTCTTTTGTTGTTTTGAAGCTTCTGGTTCATCCTTTTTTCCTTTTCTTTCAGTTTATCCATTTATCCTAGTATTCCATAATACTCGACACACCATCTTGGAAAATGAACTGATGTTTTTTAGCTGACAAATCATTGTCAGCTAAAAAACGACTACAGTATAACAAACTACAATTCTTTTAGTGTACAGTACATTATGCTTAACATGAAGTTCAAGTCACATGTGTACTAGTAGGCTAAAATGTTTGAAAACTTGCCTGCAAAAACTCTTGAAAATCACAAAACATACTTTGTTCTGTAGTGCGTGGTACGACGACAACAAGCGGTCAACTCTCAATGCACTGCATCGTGGGAGTCTTTCTTGAGTAGTTCATGGTATTCCCACGTAATAGCTGCAACAAACAGAGCCGAAGCCTCGGTATTCCATATTTCCCGACTATTCCATAATACCCTCCTCTCCTCTACTTTTGTACTAATCCAGTACCTTTTGTCCCATTAACCAAAATACCCACCACCATTTTTCTAGTGCCATTCATGAAATCCTGATACCTTTCCTTCCAATTTAGTACCTTTTAAAAAATTCATTTTTATCCTCTATTTTTTTTACTTAGGCAGTAAATAGATTTTTTGGGCTCTAACCTCCAACAGTTCCAATGCTAAACGATTAGTAGTGCTCAAAATGATCACTAGAACTGTGCCTATTGTGTTGTAGCAGTACCGAACCGTCTGAGTAGCAGTAGAGTGTCTAAGCAGTCCTAGCCTAGAAGGCTTTCCACGTCTTTTCTCTCTCTCTCTCTCTTTTGCTCTTTCTGCACTGTGGGCACTGAGAGAGCCTCTTATATCAGGCTCATTGTGGGTTCGGCCAGGCCCACAATGGAGCGACCAGGTGGTAGGGGACGGGGCCCGACATATCCGAACGGACCACCCCCGAAAAATTCCTGGGGGATTCCTTGACCCTCCCGGATTCGATCCCGGGTCCCCCAAAGCGGTAGGCTGCCACCTTTGACGCTCGGCCAATCCGGCCGTCAAGGCTTTCCACATCAAGGATGGATAGGTAGAAATTTTACATTAACTTTTTGACGTGTTAAAGTTTCGCCTAATACAAACCTATGTCAGACAAAAAGTAACCAGAAAACCACGAATAAAAGTGCCACAAATCAGCCAACATCTACCAAGTCAAATTCTCCATATACCACTGCTTCAAATGAAAATGAGCCAACTGGGACAGGAAGTGCTATTTTACAAGTGGACTCCAGAGTTTTTGAAGATGTCAACTCGTCAAATTTAGATGACACAGACTCTGATGAAAAGGATGAAGAAAAAACTGTCCATGGTTCTAGGAAAAAAACCAAAAATGATAAAGGAAATCAGTGCAAACGACAAAAAGATGCAATTTCGGAAGCAAAAGTGAGTGGGAAGTTGTATGTTCAGAAATTTAGAGTAGAATGGCTTAAAAAAGATAAGCTTACTCGATCTCATGGTGATCCTAAGAAAGCTTATTGTAAACTTTGTCAGACTGTAATCGCAGGAGGGATTGCACATTTAGTTCGTCATGCAATGCATAAAAAACAAAAATTTGGCTAACACAATAACTGATACTCCCATTGACGCTGGCTTTAAAATGCCAGCGTAAAATCTGGACATTTTAAAATGGCTTTAAAATGTCCAGATTCTAATATTGCTAAGAATATTAGGTGTGGAAGGAAAAAACTTCAAGCATTATTAAAACAAAACCTATATTTTTCAGTAAGGAAGAAGTGGAAGCTGTTTTGAACAAGCAGAAGTTTTCTCTGTTAATTGAAGTCGAGATAATAGTCGGTGGAATCACGCTCGACATTCCAAACACCATCGTCAAACTTTTAGGCTTACGGGAAAGCGGCGCCGAACGTCACACGTACACGTTTACACGTTTAAAACGTGCGCCTCAACCTCTCTAATAACTACTCGAATTCAACGAGAAGTTAATAGTAAGGTGGCACAATGGTGGAGGAATAATCCAAAGTGTTCCGATTGGTACGATATGATCGAAAGGAGCTGCAATGTTAGATTAACACAGTGGTTCTCAACCTTTTTTGTTGATGTACCCATTAGCCCATTAATTGTTTCTCAAGTACCCCTTATATTTTTGTATGTAAATTTTATAATTACTGCATTAGATGTATACAGCCCATATAACTGCGCGCCATGAAAAAACTCTAACTAACTAACTATAACTAACTACTTATTTTACGTAAATAATAATAAATTTAATCAAGTACAGTACATACATTTATTTATTATTATTTGATAAGTATGTTATATAAAATCACAGAAGTCATTTCAATACATGCATAAATTACATTTCCTAAAAATAAATAATTATAATTAACAATAAAGAAAATTTAAATTATTCTTTAATAATTTCTAACAAAATTTAATGGGATATTTGTTGGGATAAGTCTTCAGTAATTTTTTCAAAATTTGGTTCCCACGTTGTTAAAGAGATTAAAATTGTGTACTGATCTTGAAAATAATGGCTGCGAATTTATAACGTGCAGAACAATACATGAATCTTTCAATTTTTGTAACAAATGTAATGTCTAAATTCGCTAAAGTAATGAACACATGCAGTGACACGCATTGCATGGTGAGGGTACATTTCAGGCCTCGTTATTTCTAATACCAGTAGTTCAGTAAAAACACGAAAAGCCCCAATCTTATGGAGCAATAATAATAGAATAGAAGAAAAATTTTTTCTATTCTATAATTAATGCTCGGTTAAACAGTAATTTTACTAGACTACAGGTTCACTCGGCACTAACGGCACAAACAGTGGATAAACAAGTTGTTTACACTATTAAAAGGGAAATCGGTGTTCACACTGGGATATTTTAAAGCAAGTTTTTGTCGTTTCTTGTTTCTTGTGTTAATAATTTACAGCAAATTGATTAACATACGCCATTTTATAATGAAAGTTAGATGTACCCCTTCGATTTACGCTCGTACCCCTAGGGGTACATGTACCCCCGGTTGAGAACCACTGGATTAGCAGATACCGTTCTATGTTAAATTCTGAAGAAAAATTAACTCTTCGTTGTAAAAAATTTATTTTTAATTTTTAATTTTTTCTATATTGAAGTTATACATGAATGGATATTTCCCCCTAGTGTTTTTGTATATAAATTTCTGGCTTTTTTACTAAAATGTCGGCGCTTTATGTATGCTACTTCACGTTGAGTCGTGAGCCCAAAACAAAAACGTAGAAAAATAAAAACGAAAATTTCGTGAAACTGATGACCAACTGATGGAGCTGTGAAATGTCTTGCTATTGTTGCTCAGTATTTTGATGGGCATTTGCAGCGTTGTAGAGATCGTTTTATTGGTCTAATTGCTGTTGAGCCAGCTACAGGTCAAAATATCTACAGCAAAATTAAGGAACTTTTTACTAATTTTGATATACCTAAAAGCCAGTTAATTGGTTTTGGAGCAGACAATGCGTCTGTTGTGATAGGCAAAACTACTGGCGTTCAAAGTACTGTTGAAGGACATCCCACAATTGTTTGTTTTAGAATGTATATGTCATTCGTTCGATTTATGTTCTTCAGCAGCATGAATGAAACTGCCACGAACTATTGAAGATTTGTCGCCAATGCGTCGGAAGTGTCGGCGAGACCGTTGGCCGAAGGCGTAGTACCGCGCCAAAGTCTTAAAACGGTGGCGTTACTCACCTAACTCGAGATCGGAGGAAAATTTAAAACGGTTAACCGATTTATGGGCCACTTTGTACCAAGCTCCCGTAATTCGGTCGGCAGAAATTTTACACATCGATGTAAATTACAAATAAATAATTCGTACTAGATTCAAATTCGAATTTACGGCGAAACCAACAAAAGATAAATTTCCGTAGGGAAAATATTTTAAAACTCGCAAAATTAAAGTCGACCACGGCGCGGCGCGTCGCGTCTTAATCTCGTTGCCGTAATTCGACGTAATCCAATAAACGTCACGAACGAAGCTCCACAAAAATTCCGAATAATCACAAATGCGTTACGAAAATATAACCGTTAAGAAAATAAAATATTTGATTACGTAAAACACAAAATAAATTTAAACGTAAATTCTACCGATTGATAAGAATTTAGTGGATAGATTTTATCCATCTTCCGGTTCCGCGGCATAAATTTCGCGCGTCCGTGACATTTTAACCACAAAATATCTATCAGCCAAACAGACATCGAGTTAATATTAAGCCATGGCAATTTAATACGCGATTAATTATTATAAGAATTTTCCTGGACGACGGTCGGTTGTAAAAGTTGTAAAATGGCCGCTTTATTCCGTAACGTAGCGGAGGATTGCGGTTAAAAGTCGTGTGGGAATTTAAATACGAAAAAGTAACGAGCAAGTACCGGTAACAGATAAGTGTCGTAAAGGATACTTTCGCCACTGGCTCCACTTATACACGGGAATATGTAATTGGGTTGACCGCGTTGCAGAATTATAAGAAAGGAATTCGATTATGTCCGCATTTATCGGTACGGGAGAGAAATTCTGATAGTTTTCCGAAATAAAAGCCGGCAAGAGTGGGAAAAATTACATAAAATATTCCTTAATTATTAGCCAACGAATATCCTGCCTCGATTATGAGATAGGGAATTAATTGCCCATCTCATATAATCGAGATTGTTGATAATGATGATAATAAGCGCAGAGGTCCAAACGGTTAGGAGTTGAAAGTTGAAATTTCGTACACAGTTAGGTATTTCGTGAGAACGTACACTAAGAAGGGATTTTTGGAAATTTCCCTCGCGGGTAGAGGGAGAGAGTTAAGGATTACCCCTTAGAATTGATTCTACTGTATTATTTTAGATGCCTATAATTATAAAGGTTATCTTAGGTAAGGGTTTTATCACACCGAGTGACAAATCCAACACATTTTAAAAATTCTTTAAATTGTATACAGACGTGTTAGATTGGGCACTCGGTATGACGTAAGATAATCTTTGTAAATATAATTCTGTGGCTGTACGCCATTCTATTTTGTATAGTTTTTAATTTAATTTTATATTCTATCTCTCTAAATTTATCCTTCCTTCCAATTTCCTTTGTTCGAACTTCCGAGAATTTGGACTTACCCTTAGCCCACCAGGAGGTAAGGTGAAAACAATAATCTACGACGAGGCTGGAGGGGAAAATCGAAATTCCAGTAGACATTCTTGGGCCGGACACGAGAGACAACGGACGTGTGGCGGTAAGGCTCGTAAGTGGAATCCGACGAGCGCTGAAAAAAAGGAGAATAAAATTCATCGCAAAAAGAGACGATCGGTAGAAGCCAATTAACACGCCTTTAATATTGTGTGGTAACTTTTAACGTAGCATTCTAATGCGTAATATCAAATACCGAATTTCGCAACGTCCGAAAGCAAACACGACCGAACATCGTAACGTAGTAAATAAATAGTTACCAACTATAAATTAGCCTGGGCTACAATATAATTTAACATACGTAACTTTATAATTAAGTTAATTATAAAAAAAAAACAAGTACATTCTGTCGTTACCATTGCAGTAGAAGTATAAACAGAAAAGGAATAGAAATTGATCGGACTTTGTTATATCTACGACTGGAATAAAGTCCATAGTCGGCGTTGGAAACGTCAGGTATTTTGTCTAGGAAACCTCTTCGTCCGGATATCCTTTAGCGTACATCCCGCACTCTGCCTTTGTAATTCCATAGTAAATACGTTTTCCACCGCCGATCTTTTCGTCGTATTCCGTTTTTCAGGCGAGCAACTGGAGTTGAATATTTCATTGTTTATTTAAACGACGCGTTTCTATATACCGTTAAAGTAAGTCGGTACGTAACTTTATTTATTTATTTTTATTAGTACGGCAGAGGTGACGCGTGCGAATTTCCACTCGGTAATACTTAATTTATTATTTTATGCCGTCGATTTATTGCCGTAGAAATTAATTAATTTATTAGTAAATTTACGTCGTCGTTAGTATACGCACTTTACGGCCGTATCGGACACCGAAGATCGAGTGTTAGAAGTTAACCATCGTCTTTACTTTTAGTAGGCCAACGCTTATCGGTTAACTCTGACGGTTCGTCTTGGGTGGCCAATACGGGCATTTACAGTAAAGATTTCTTTCGTATAATCCGGCCAAATAATTAACAAAAGTTTCGTCAAAGCGGCGCCATGGCGTAAATAATTTGTCACGTCATTTCCGGAAGTGGCATAAAATAATTACCCAAAGGAGACGACGGCCGGATGGCCGAGGGGTCGAGGTGGCAGGCTACCGCTCTGCCTAGGACCCGGGTCGAAAACTACTCAGGAATTTTTCGGGTCCCGCCCTTCACCACCCGGCGGCCCCATTGTGGGCCTGGCCGAATCCGTAACGAGTTGGCTAAAATAAGGCCCCTTAGTGCTGACGGGGCGGAGAGTTAAAAAACTCCAAAGGAGCGGATTAAGGAAATTTAACGGAGATGAAATCTTTTGCTTTTAAATAAATTAGCAACAGTGGGATTTATAAAGGGTAATTATCGTAATTTGGGGGAGAAGAAAAGAGCGTTAAAAATTGTTTATTTTTTTAAAAGTGACTGGTTAACCGCCGAATGACCGGAAGACGAATTTCTGAACAAGTCGTAAATACGAACGACGACTCTATCCAGTTTCTTGACGCAGCTAAATTAGGAAATTTTGAAACGACAGCAGTCTTTGACTTCGTTCCGTACGCGCATAAACGAGATCTCTTTCCGTCCCGTGGGCACTAAGACAGTCTGTTTTAGCTATCCCTTTATGGTAAATTTTTTTTTGTTTGTTTGTTTTAATATTCCGACTTGTACCATCAAGCGAGTGAGCGAAACGGGAGTCGAGCGAGATTCGGGCAATGGCGGATTCGATTCCGGGTTTCCCGGAATAACAGACCGACATCTTAACCTCCTCCCGTCAAATTATATCACAGCTGTAATGTTTAATTTGTCACCCAAGATACTATAATAGTACTGTAGATATTTTAATACTGTACGGATAATTCACTAGAGAATTTGAGAAAAATTCGACTTAGTCCGGTTTTCATTGGTTGCGACTTTTTAGGATTTGATAAAATCGAAAGACCGGAGTTTATTTTAACGTAAAAAATCATTTAAAAGTATATTTTAAAATTAATCCGGCATGGTTGCCGGTTGTAATTGTAAGTAAACTATTATTGCCTACACGCATTACATTTGTTAGCGTTTAAAACAATTGTTAAGAAATTTTACCTAGGATTAAATGAATTATAATCGGGAAATCACCAACGCTGGTTCAAATTTGAGAGAGAAAGGTAATGTTTTCATCTTCGATTCTAACGAATTTGCATAAGTAGAGATTTTTGCCCGACGGACATTCGTAGCCGGAGGGTCTTTGGTTATTAGACCAATTTGTCCAGGGTTCGGACCCTCCTGCTTCTCTACCGGGTGTGGTATATATTATTACGTCATAACCGCCAAATCTCGTATTATCGTAGCCGTAGGTTAGGTATAGCCAGGATTTTCTCAAAATTTTTCAGACGGGGCAGCGATGAACCGCGATTTAATAATTTTCGGTCGACGAATCGAACGTAAATTAGAACAGATGGATGCAATCTCGTCTAGAGTAGAAGACGCCATCGACAACGTAAGCTTTAATTATTTTATTAATTAAGAAATACATTCTGACAATATTTGTTTCTGTTTTTATTTATAAAGTTGACGTTATCCAGAATGTTCGAACGGAAATTTTGGAAATTATTTTTGAGTTTTAATTTATTTTTTATGCCGTTGACCGTGGCCGTCGTTTACGAGTATTTTACTTTCGACGAAAATACGAATCTACGAGATCGAGTGCGTAATTAGTGGTTTTTAATTGTCAAATACGAGAATGTAATTAGCGTATTTTTCTGTCGACAGATGGGAAAGAAAATTTTATCCACGTTTCTCCTGGCAATTTCTATGGTGGCGGGATTGCCGTTCTATTTGTATCAATTGGGACAAGTGGAAAAATTATTTCGATAAATTCTGCGCCACTCGAACGACGGAAAGACTCGAGAGTTTCCTTCAGAAATTAAATAAAATTCTTTCTTCGTGTATAAATTAATACGACTTTACGTTCGAATCATTTATTATAATAAAAATGTCGTTTTATTTATTTATTTACTAGCAGATTTTTGCCCGGCGTTGCTCGGGCAAAAAGTAACGATAGCGAAGATTAACCCTCTCCCTCTCCCCTGCGGGGGAATTTCCAAAAATCCCTCCTTAGTGTACTGTACATTCTCATGACGTATCCTAACAGTATACCAAATTTCAACTTTCGACTCGTAACCGTTTGGGTTCTGCGCTTATTATCATCAACCCATCTCCAATACATTATAAGATAATCTAATTACTGTACAGTACACAGAATAGATAGCTTTAACCACTCGTTACGTAAACGTGCGCCAATACGTCCGGTGTAATTTTTAATCAAAGGAAAAAAATGTCGTGGACGTCGAGCGGGTTTAGTGAAACGTATCGCTTTCGCACTTAAAAGTGTACCAAATTCGGTACGTCTTCGTATAATATTCGGCAAGTGAACTCTAAGACTAAGTTAGTGTCGGGAACGTTTACGTTTATTCTACGTCGGAAAAAGAGGAATTCTAAAAATTTCTAGCCAGTGCCTACTAGCGACCAGAGTTAAACCCGGCCCGCATACGGTACGCGGTAATAGAATATTGTACGATTTTGCTTAGGTTCCGCCGGCACGTCGATCGTTGCAAACGGCGCGTGACGTATTATTGTATTAATTTCTATGTTAATTAAAAGTTCACCAAAAGCAAATTTTAGTCGAAAATATCCGTGACGGCTCCCGAAGTCACAATAAGTAGTACGTTAGCTAGGTTGCGGCCGAAGTTTTCATCTTTAAAACGTGAACGTCGAGCGCCGCTATCTTGTAAGCGGTGCTCGACGTTCGACGTTCACGTTTTACAGATGAAAACTTCGACCGCAACCTCTCTATTGTCGTTTCTTGTAAACGTTGACGCGGGGTAACCTCCGTCGTAAACGTTGGTATTTTATATCTTCTTAAAACTCCTAGTTTTATAGTATTTCTACTAGTTAAGATGTCCTCTTATCCGCCATACGACAGGAAGCCTGGCCGTATTTCTCTGAAGCGGACGGGTCTTTCGATTAAAAAGTTTCCTACCTCCGATTTATCATTATATAACTTAATAATCGGATACGCCCGTGCGAGTTAAATTAATAATAAATGTAATTAATAGCGTAAAGGCCTGGCTTTAGGGGATGCGAAGTCGATTTGAATTATTAAAAGAACAAACAAAAAACTAAACTGTTGATGATGTTACTAAATCTGAAATCTCGTTTTTACAAAACAGGGCACAATTTTCACTTTAAAATAAAAATTTCCTCACTTGGTGGATGTGTATGGTGGCTCCACGGAGCATCCTACACTTTCACAAAGCGGAGCGACTTTTGCAAGTTACAAATTATTGTATATGGAAAATCAACATGTATAATAATTTGTTTTTGTTGTTACAATACCGTCCGTATATATGGAGGCCTATACAGGGTGAGTAAAAGATCATTGTATCCTCTTCGTTCCGAAGCACCGAAGATATATCAATTTTGCTGATGTAGCTACGAAAAGTCGTGTACGGAGAACGAATGGGATCTTTCATTGACCTTTAAAATAATTTTCCAGGTCACTTACGTTGTAAGTTTGTTAACGTAAAATTCCGACGAAAAGATTAAAGAACAGCATTTAATTAGTGTAAAATAATATTCTGATATCAAATAAATACGTTTAGGACTGCATAATTTCCAGCTTTAAATTATTTAGAGATTTCGTTTTACTCCTTATAGATGAGATCACTTTCACTTGTTAGTAAATTATCTAGTCCCGAGTGTGTTTATTTTTAATGAAAAAACGATTTAAAAATAAAAATCTAGCAACGAGTGGCGTAACTTTCCCGGCTTTTATGAGATTTTATTTTTAAAATAACTTTTGTATTATTCATCAAAATGACTAAAATTGTATATAGGGCCATATGTTACGAGATTTTGTTATAAAAACTTTATTATAAAATAGCAAAAGACTTAAAAATATATAATTAATTTTGAGGGTAGAAATTTAGTTTTATAAAGCATTGTAAATGCTAACAAGTAAAATCTAAGTCTGACCCCTCGCGAGATATATCACGTGACTGCCCTCTACCTCCATCCCCTCGACCTTTCACAACCAAAATTTAATAGCATCAAAACCCGTTATATATAGGTTATCGTGCCAAATTATGTTTCTTTATCTTCATCCGTCCCGAGATATTAAGCAAAGTAGATGCCAACACACACACACACACGGAATTTTTTTGCCCTTTTTTTGTACTATTTGGGTTCAGGGATCTCAAAACGTGGATATTTGCAAAAACCTCAGGTCAAATTTGACACAATTCTATTACTTTCCCTTATGGGAACAGCCGGCAAAATAAAAACCAACACAGATGACTTTGGAAATTATTTTCAAGGTCAACAAAAGATTGCGTCTACGCATTTTTCGCACACTATTACATTTAAAAAAAATGAATATATCTTCGATGCTCTTGGAACGAAAAAGATGCAAGGAACGTTCACTCATCCGGTACACGTGTACGAAACTTTAAAAACAAGTCTTTTCTAACACCGATAAATCTATCTCGTCACGGAGAAAATGAGACGAAAAACAAAAAAAGTGATTTAATTTATTTTTATTTTAATTTGGGATGTTAAGACGAATTTGTTTTCATTTAAATGTCTCGTGAGCGAATATATAATAGGAATCGCCGTAAAGCCAGCAATTACATAGGCTATTGTAATCTAAAGTAACTCGTTCATAAAATCTGGAAACGTGGTCTTGATCGACGAGTCAAAGTGCCGCCTTGCAAGTTTGTACAGAGAATAAAACACGGAACACGTGATGCATTGTTAACGAAGATATCATATAGGCCTAATATATGTTGTACGTTGGCCCGTTTCCGGACTTTACGGCCACTTTGTATATTAATTACTCTAACGATATAATTAGTGAATTTTCGTGGAAGTGTCTATTGTTACGCGTCAATCTATCAACGGTACTGTACATCGTTTTATTCTTGCCTATATTTTTGTACAGTACATTAGATGATGAAATCCGTCTTGTTTAATAAAGACGGATTTCATTACCTAATATAAAGGCCATTTTCGGATAGCTAGGAAACAATCTTAATAAAATCCGATACGATTAATTATCTTATAAATATTTAATATAATTATACACCTATTTTAAATAATAATAACGTTAACTTGGGTTTCGAATTTAAACGGACGGTAAATCAGTCTACCACCCGGTTCGAGTTCTTAATTCCCGGTTTTTGAAAGGAAATTGAGAATAAAATTAAGTATTAATACGATAGAGTTTTTAAAATGCATTTTCTAAATAATTAAGAAGATATTTATCGATCTTTTTATGATTTTCGCAAAGCAAAGAATGGCGTTAAAATTACAGTATTTTAAACTTAATTTCCTTTAAAAATAGATTTACTCCTCAAAAACTAAATATGGTAGATTACGGCCCACCAAATCCGAACTATTAATTTGATCGACTCCTAAGATGTCACTTAAACTCTTAGTCATTTCTTGGAAATAAAAAATTGAAGTCGGTTAAAATAACCGTCCAAATTAGAGTCAAAATAACCAGTCCAAATGGAGCTCCTTACCTTACTTCGAAAGCTAAACTTTATAGATATTTCTAAAGATTTGCTTTAGGTTTCTGTAAATTTTTCCCGTGAAATTAATGATAATTCGAAAGAATTATTATTAAATCCTCTCCTTTACAATCTATACTTGAAATTTTATAATGGTTATTTCTAAAATTTAAACTACTAGGAATAAACGAATTCTCCGGAAAGTCTTGTCACCCCATAACTTTATTTGAAGTTGGCATCTGTATTTCGTCGTATCGTTTTCGGACGGCCGATACCGACGGGTCGGTCGCTAGTGTAAGGGCACACCAACGTCCATAAACCGGTGTTTTCCAATAATCGGATAAATAAGCACGTACGGGAAAGGGACACCACAAATCTATAGCGGACCACATGATGTAAAACTGCAAATGATAAAACTGCCGAACGGGGGTCCACGAAAACGGGCTCTCACAATAAATGAAATAAACGGGCAACGAGTTGTTCAATTTTCCCGGCAACATTTAAACCTGTTAAAAATATATTTTATTTAAAAAATTTTATTACTTAGAAAAAGGCAAAAGCTTAATTTTGAGGGTAGGGACGGGTTTTATAAAAAATTGTTAATGCTAATAACCAGTAAAATCGTCATTACGTTCGGACCCTACTGGAGATATACACGACCCCATTATCTCCCCATCCCTCCACCTTTAATCACCAATATCTAATAGCGTCGATCCCCCAAATAAACAAATTTCCAAGCAAAATTTCAGAAATTTTCGACAAAAAGCACGGAAGTTATTAAGCTTGAAAGAGGGTGACAAAATCGTGCCCCCACACACTAGCATCAATACATACAGAAATTATCCCCCTTTTTTATTTTGCATTTCTCGACGTTTCAAGGTGTCCTAAGTCCAAAGATGTAAAAATCTTGAGGATCATTTTTTGAATCGTCGTCTCCTCTTTTACAATAGGCCTATATATAACAACCAGGAAAGGAAAAGTATTTACTTGCATCATTCATTTCGAAAAATAAAATTTTATTTCATATTATTATTTTATATTTTGATTTATATATACAGAATCACAAAATCTTTTAAGTGCCTAGGGCCTCTAAAAGTCTTAATCCGGGCCCGTCGATAGCGTACAGTACACCAATGATAATACAGTACTGTACGTACAGTACATTTACTCGAACCGACCGCGGATAAACTTTTTGCGTAAGCGTGCCGAAAAAGAATTAATAAATTAATAAAATGCGCTCTAAATCTTTAGAATTTAAGCAACCGTTTCTAAAAGAAATAAAGTAAACCTTGCTTCAATTTAAACAAAACAAAGAACTCGACTAAATACAATGAAAATTAAAAAGGGCAAAAGAAATCGAGATTAAATAGCCAATACCCTTCCTCTTATCCACGAAAAAAGGTTAAACCAGTAATCCTAATTGTCCGATCTCTTAAAAAAATTACCGATGCCAGCCATCCCGACCGCAAATGTCTAAATTAGCTCACAAGCCCTAATTTAGATATTTGCGTAAAATTTATTTTCGCGGAAAAAATAATATTCTTTTCCTCATTTTGTAGAAAATAAAACTACATTAATTTCAATTTTATTCGTAACAAAAAACTGTATTAAACGTAAGCGTTTAAAGTTTTACGTCGATTAGCGACATGATACAGAAGTAATTTCATTACAATTCTGATTTTTATACGCTATTTTTACCTTTGATACGATTGCATTTTACGATGCGAAACTGCCATTTGCTACCGGATAAGATGCGTAAACACGATAGCAATAAACGTAGAAGAATAAATAACCTTATCGTAAGGAAGGGAGGCCGCAGACGTTCGTTTAATGCCACAAGTGGAGTCACTCACGATACGTACTGTACAGTACGTTCGTTACGAAACACCGACAGTCACAAGCTTCGATACCGTGGTGTTTACTTCGAAAGCCGTAATAAAGAGTAATTACTCGAGTAAAACATTCCTCCGATAATTAAAAGGAGAAAATGTTCAAAATTAGTTTCTCGGAAGCTTTGTAATTATTAAAAATGAACTTATATTGATAATATTTAAAGAATAAACGTTTATTCCTCTACTTTATTATTAATTAAAATAGGAGAATTACGTTTACTTTGAATTATTCGCTTTTTGTTTATTGTTACT